CGTGAGATAAGCATGCTAGCTAAAGTACGTCATCCGAACCTTCTCTTGTTTATCGCTGGAGTCTTGGACCATCCTTCAGGGAGTCCTATTATCATCACTGAGCTACTGGACACGTCATTACGTAAAGCTTACACTGATTATCTGATAAGCAGTGATAGAGTAAGGATATCTATAATGAGGGATGTAGCAGCTGCTCTTAATTACATTCACCGCCAAAAGGAGAGCATCATTCATCGTGATGTGAGCAGTGCTAATGTTCTCCTTGAGTCCAGGGGAGAAGGGAACTGGAAGGCTAAGCTCTCTGATTTCGGTTCCGCTAATCTCGTTCAATTTTCAACAACAGTAGGCCCTGGGGCTATACCTTATGCTGCTCCAGAAGTACCTCATAATCAAACAACAAAGATGGACGTGTATAGTTACGGTGTCCTCTTGTGCGAGGTCATGTTGAGTGAGTTTCCTTTTAAGGAAAGGTTTCCAGATATGCTCCAGTCCCTTGCTGGTAGTTGGTCGTTGATGCATCAGTTGATATTATCCTGTACTAGGCACTCAGTGGCTGATAGGGTAGACATGATGTATGTTTTAGATACTTTTAATGAAAGTTTTACTGATGTTAGTGTTAAAGGATTTGTACCTCTTGTTTAAAAATAAGTATAATTGGTATAATGAAACTGTCATAGTTAATTTTATTACAGATATGAAGTTCACTCCAGTTACAATAGGTTGTGTACTGGTCAGTTCAATAGCTGGACCCATCACCTGGTATCTATGGATACACACTGGAAGTGCTAAATGCTAACTTCTTCTTTGCTTTAACATTAACCAGGGATATAATAGACTAACGTAGTCTATTATATCCCTGCATTAACTTATTGTATTAGTCAGATATTCTTATTGCTTGATGTGTGTCACTCATACCTCACTCATCAGTATGATATGACCAATGGACTACCTAGGACTGTTAATAAACTAGGAACTGGTCCTATACTGTTGAAATTACAATAAACAGTGATTTGGTCAATTAAAATTGATTTTTATTTACCACACCTCTCAATACGCAATGGCTTCCATCTTAATGAAAGAGAAGACTGGATATGGCCCGGTGCAGGAAGGAGAAGACCAGTGGACTTGTAAAGTATACAAAGGAGAGCTAGTTGTACCAATACCTCAAGAGGAGATATGTCAGATGAGTCAAATCAAGGGTCTCACTCCTAATTATCGCCTTCACCGTGGTCCTATAGTAATATTGTATGGTGGTCCTACTGACGTTAGTCCACTATATGACAAGGAAATAGAATATCTACAAGCAGTAAGTATACCTGGTTCAAGATTAAAGGAATACTTAAATGAGGTGGATAAGAAGATGAAGATGGGTCTGATAGTTGGTGATAAGGTGATCTTCAAGTTAAAAGAGCCTTCGATTTTAAAAAGTTCTGGATCAAAAAGCACAACACCAGCTGCATCAGTCAATGGTACAATACATTATATTGGTCCTCATCTTGATAGTGATGGAATAGTCTTTGGTATTGAAATTCAAGTGAGTGTAGCATGTTTTGTGTTTACATTTTAGTGTATTGAATTTCAGGATCAAGCATATCGTGGTAAAGGTACCAGTAATGGTAGACCTTATTTCACTTGTGGACCCAAGAATGCTGTCTTTGTTGCTATGGATAAGATAATCAAGAAACAAGATCCAGCACATACTAGATCTGGTCAGGGATTACCTGAACTTTTTGTCACGGAGCAACCTAGACGAAATACGAGAAGCCGAACAAAGTCTGGTGCTGCCAGTGGTCAGCCTAAAAGTGCTTATGATAGATTTAAAGGATTTGTAAAAGAGACAGTTTTCTCAATTGAAGACAACACAGCAGAAGAGGGAGGAAGAAGGTATGAAGCTGGAGATGTATCTGGTCATAAGTCACGGTTCAAAGAAGGTGATCGTGTGATAATACAGACAGTTAAAGAAGACATAGTTGCTGGTACAGTGAAGTGGGTTGGGCCAATTAGAGTTGCTAAAGATATGAAAATTGATCCAGTTCCAGTAGTAGGAATAGAAACAGTAAGTGATGGAAGTAGCCAATTAATAGATAAAATAATTTTATCTTAATCTTTTTCAGGACAGAAAAATTGATCCTTCAAAAGATTTTGATGGTATTGATATTAATGTCACTGGTAGTCATGGTACCAAGCTTTTTAAAGTGGCACATAATCACAGTCGAGTGTTCCTTCCTGAACAGCTGGTTCTTACTGTTGATGAGTATACAATGCAGCAACAGAAGGATCATGCTGCTAAATTTAGGAAAGAAACCAAGCAAGATGATGCTACTGAGGAAGAGATGAAATCAGCTGCAGAGTTTGGTTTGACAGTAGAAGAATATCGAGTACAGCAACAAAGCTATGTTGATGTTTCTAAACAAGAAAAGGATGATAAGAAGGTACCTGGTGATCCAAAAATTGTAGGCGAAAGCAACGAAGAAAGGTTTATGGTAGGAGATGGAATGATAGGAGGAAGAGGAAGAAGTGAAGGATTTTATGAATTAACAGATACAATACAAGCAATGAATGTTGGTGAGCCT